TGCCGTTCGGATGAAACCGCCTGAAACTCGATTTTCTCTCCACCATAACTCCTAATCCGTGGTGAATCAGTGGAACTGTATTAGTAAAAGTTGTAGAGCTATGTGAGATCTCCAACTTTGCTTTATGGAGTAACATCTAATTTGTCATGGTTAGCAAGTTACAAATCTCCAAAGTGGTGCACTTGAAACTGAAATCAGCATTTTGGACTTAGCAAAACTTCTAAGTCTAGAAACAACATTTTGTTGATTCTTGTGAGCCCTATTTGACCATGTTAGGCACTGAACTAGCTCATGACCCTTAAATAAAGTTTATTCCACATAAGATAAGCTACAACTTTTATTAAGGGTACACTACCATGCAAACACTCTATGCTATAGTTCAACTTTAGTCAAAGTAGGATCATGAAAAATGACATTTTGAGTAAACTAGGACTTATAAGCAAAATTGGCCCATGTCATGAATACAAACATTGTTTCATTTACCATCCTAGACAAGTATAAGGTGTTTTTGTGACCTCACAACCATCTCTTGCATTGGTCACATATGATCACAAGCATATGCATGTATATAATCAACATCACATGTGATAGTATGTAAAGAATAAGATGAAATTCCATATGCTCATGCTCATGAATGCTTGGATGATGCTTGTGCTCATGAAATGTAAGTGCCAAATGCAATGCTTAACACTAGGGTGTTACAACCACCAGGTACCTGAATCCCCTCACCGCTTTGTCCTCCCTCCTATGTCTCCATCTCCATCTTCCCTGAATGTTTTTGCGACTGAACCTGAGGGTCAACCATAGGAAACCAAGGCTATAGATTTCTGATTTCGTCTATATTCTATATACCTTATAACCAGCTTGCAACACTCGTGATATGACTAGCAAAGTAGCAGCATACTACTTTGTCAAAGGTATTGTTTAATGAATGAGAAGCTCATCCAAATAACACTCCTTAAAAAGTGTCAGCATTTCTATCTGAAATGTGAAAATTTTGTATACTGTGCAATTAAAACATCCTATGACTTTTTCAAATATATGACTCGTGCTTTGGACTGAATAAAGCACCTGATGAGGGTAGAAGTTATTGTTCCTGAAGCTTTGCTCGGGTATTTATGATCTTATCTATTACAAAGGAGTTTGTGATTATTTTTTCTGGCCGTGATGCCCCGCAGCTAGCCGCGATGCCACATCCCGTCGAGCGAAACTAGAGAAAGCACATCCTGCTCGTGGAAGAGGAAGCAACAAGAACTAGAAAAAGCAGGTGGAGGAGGCCTCGCACATCCTGCATGCCCTCGTGATCTGCAACTGCTCCTAGGACTCCATCATGGTGGACCCTAGCTTCTTCAACGCCTCCTACACCATCGCTCGCTGCTGCCACCAGGTGTGCCAACCCCTTCCTACTGCCATTTTTTTTTACTTGTCTCCTTCAATAACATTGCCATGCCTTATAGTTTTTACACTCTGCACAAGCAAAATTGCCTTACTGATATGAAACATTAGGCATAAGTAATTGATAAATTATACAGCTAAAAATTTTGCTGCGTCCACCAAGGATGCTTTCACCAAGTACTCATTGACGTATAAGAAATAGCAGTATAACACAACCACCATGCAACGAACTTGACAGGAAAGACCCTACGCTATCATTTCTTTGCAATAGTTGGCCTCAACAATCACGAAGCAGAAGCCTAATGTCAGTGTTTAAATGACTAGGAAAGTACATGATACTAAAAGGAAAAACTATTATTCCTTATCTGGTGCCTTCGATAATTTAAAAGGTTATTTACAACCCATAAGTTTAGCAATAGGAGCATCATACATACTCTTCTATCAAAAAGGAACAAGAGTATTTCGACATGAACCTGCTATCCAACGCAAATCTCAACTAAATGCATAGACACAGTTGCATCCTGAAAAAATAAAGAGAATAGGTTATTGAGTTATAGCTATTAGGATGAAGAGCCTAGGTGATTATACATGTTTTTTTAGCGGAATCTACTACCAGCTCTCAGATATTTTTATATGAAATAAACTAATCAAGGTGACATAGTTGCAACTTTGCAAGTCTAGACTAAATGCTTAGGCACACAGTTGCATCCTGATAAAAGGCCAAGAGAACTCACCTAAACAAACAATTAGCTCAGCAGTGCAGACAACTTGGGCATCTAGACAAACCCCATGCTACTTCATGAATCACAGATTGGACACAAAGCTCATGACAATATGTCAATATTACATAGGCTGACATGCACTTTATGCTTTTCACATTTGCCATGTTGCAAGGGAAAGTGGATAGAAAAGACGTGTATAAATGAGTTTGTGAAGAGGAACATACTATATCATTTGTAGGAGAGAGGTCAATAGCATTAACGGGTCTCTCTGTGACATGGAAAATACATGTCTTCATCAGGGTTAGTGTTCTTGCATCCCATAGCTATGCATGAAAATTTGTGATCTCTGTTCCAGGCCAACCAGAGGCTGACCGGAGCTGTGCAATAGTCATGAGTGGATAAATAACTGAATCTGAACTTTATTTGGTTTCTTGTTTTTTTTGTCAACATGAAAGTTTAGGATTATGAAATGTTTAGTCTACTGAGTTATTATTGGTAACCATGTGAAATTTATTAAGGGCTACTCAAGCAAAGTATACATATGATTCAAGTTTTGCTGGTACACTTGTGTGCTAATTTTCTTGATTTCCTTCTTAGCTGGAAGCTATAGATTTTCAACCCCAATCTATGCTGGTTTTGGATAGAAACATATAGGCTTATAGTTAGTTTGCAATATAGCACATGTTGATTTTGTTTCAAAACTGAACACGTATGAAGCAATGCAGGATTATCAAGTATGTGGCTTCAATTCAATTACAATGTTGAGTTCAAAAAAAATCAGTTACAATGTTGAATGTGAAGAATTGAACATTCTCTATTTTTCTTATCTGTGTCCATAAAATTTCAAACCGTCATTATTTTCTTAGTGTTGTGCTGTTTATCTCCGGGTCATCTTGCAGTCTAAATTTCCAAGTTTTAGTTTTAAATCTTTTATCCAGTTTTTAGTTTTAAACAATGTAATATGTGCAATCTGAGTTTTGTAGTGCTCATACATTCTCTATTCTCTAATATATCTAACTTTTAGTTTTAAACAATATAATATATACAATTTGAGCTGGGTATCGCTGCTTGCTATAATTTTATATGTGGAGCAATGGTTATATTTTTACAAAGATTTTGACTGATAGGCCTTTATTCCCTGGAAAAAATCAATGACTGATCTCTATCACGTCATTGACAGATACTATTTTTGCAGGTATGATGTTACTATTCCTAAAAATATTAGCATGTTCATCTAAGCAAAGAGAGAAATCAAAGAGGTACCCTTTTTAGAGAACTTCCATGCACATTCTTCGGTGCTCAAGCTCTTTGCATTTTTAGTTTGTATTGTTGTAATTTGTATTACTTTGAGCACTTTGAACAAGTTGGTCAAAGGGCAACTTGTCATTGTCAGTTAGCACATCCTACTTTGCAATATATGTCTAATTAGCTACTGAATACCAAAGAATGAGGATCCATGGACAATTTTTCTTTTCATTATTTGTATAAAATATACTTTGTCGTCCAATCACAAAAACTTATCATTCGGTTGTTTGGAGCTATATTAACTAGCACAAAACTGCTAAGTTCATTTAACAGAGAAGAGTATCTATTGTATTAAAAATGTTTAGACACATCACTTATAAAACATCACTCTTCAAGTATGGCAAGCATGCCTAATATATTATGTTAGTTTTTTTAAGTTGATTGTACTTTTAATCAGTGAAATCATATACCTAATCTTGGGTGTTGGCTTTCTCCCTTCAGTCTCTATTCTTTCTATTTGCTCTTATTAGGAATATACCAACAATACTATAAATGCATACCTTGATGATTGTAAACCATCAATGAGAATTTTAGCCATGCACAAAATTCAATTCGTAATATTGACATTCTGAACACTACGCTCGCATTATCATTTTTTAATAATACAACATGTTCATGCTTAAATTATTATGGCATTATTTGGAAATGTCTATATAGTAGAGTTGATGAACCTACGACGCCGCGCTCTCCGTGACTATGTTAATTTCACGAACTTTGTTTTTAATTAAAAATCACTTCAACGTTGGTATTTAATTTCACAGTATTATTATTTATCATGCGATTTGTACTTTTTTAGTACAAAAGTTTAGTTATCCCGTAGCTACGCACGGGTACACTGCCTAGTTTTCTATAAAAACAAAATGCATCACCACGAAATGTACAAAGGAAAAAGGAAGTAAATTTGAAATAACGATGCTGTGCTGCCCAAGGTTCCCAATTTGGCATTGGCGCAAGTGGCACGGTGACTCATTCGCAGCCATGAGCCGCGGCCCGCGACCGCGAGGCAGCTCGCGCACCGCCAAAACAAAAACAAATGGTTCCGCAGGCAGGCAACGAGCCAGCTCGCTGGTCGCGCTTGGACCGGACCGGACCCCAGCCCGCCACGCAGGCACGCAGCCCCGCCGGCGGCCTCCTCACGGCGCGCCTGAACGCGGTTTGAACACGTCAACCCGCGAGCCACGTCGGCCTCCCGCTTCGAGGTCCAGGGCGCGCAGATAATACTTTTCTTATCCGCTATCATGGCCTTGCTCTCGCAGCCAAGTGTAGGAAAGCTGCGGACGTGGCGCGCCTGTGTCCACGCGGTGCGGTGCGCATCTGACTACGACCCGAATATCTGATAGCGTCGCCAATTCCTCTATAAATAGAGCTCCCAGCGCACGCCGAGACTCTCCTCCAAATTATATTCCCCTCTCATTTGCGCAGCCTTCTTCTGCAGACAAGTCTGAAATCATCTTGTTCAAATCGTCCCCTCCTCTCTCTCTCTCTCTCGCCAAGCACAAGCTTCTGTGCGTTCGTGTTGCGGCCTTGTTTGTTGATTGGCTGGTCCGGTCCTCTCTGATCCAGAGGCAAGCAAAAGCCATGGCTCTGACGCTGCGTTCCTCGACGTCGTTCCTGTCGCCCGTGGACCCCACCTCCAAGCTCCTCCACAAGCCCGCCGACGAGGCGCCGCCCTGCTGCGTCGCCGTGCCCCCTGCCGCGCCCAGCCGCAGGCCGGGCGCACTCAGGGCGTCCGCGGCGGCAGCGGCGCCCTCACCGGCGGCGGCGACGGGCCGCGCGCCGGCGGGGGCCGAGCTGCTGCACTGCGGCGGCGGCGCTGGGGGCCAGCAGCACGGGCTGCGGCGCGGCGGGGTGCCGGTGTACGTGATGCTGCCGCTGGACACGGTGGGGCCTGGCGGCCAGCTGTCGCGGCAGCGCGCGGTGGCGGCCAGTCTGATGGCGCTGCGGGGCGCCGGGGTGGAGGGCGTCATGGTGGACGTGTGGTGGGGCGTCGTGGAGCGGGACGGCCCGGGGCGCTACGACTGGGAGGCCTACGCCGAGCTCGTGCGCATGGTGGAGCGCGCCGGCCTCCGCCTCCAGGCCGTCATGTCCTTCCACCAGTGCGGCGGCAACGTCGGCGACACCTGCAAGTAAGCATCTCCATTCCATAAATCACCTTTGCCTTGCCTGGGTTCTGGACTTCTGGTAGCTGTAGCAATCACGCTGATAAAGCTGCGACGTTGATTTGTTGCGAGCTCAACTCTTGATGCTTCAGAGTTCAGATTTCGTAGTGTGAAATCTACTGCGACGTTGAAGGTTTTGAGGAACCAATTGCTGTTCTTAGCTTCAAAGATGTCTAATCTGAAAGCATAAAGCTTAAACAGGGGTTACTGAGTTTGGTAGACGGTTACTGTAGTTTCTCGCTTTTCATTTGTTGGTCCCTTGCACGCAAGGAATTTCGTATGGCCCGGTCGGCAAGCAATCAGAACACTATATTACTATTAGCAAGAGAATAGACACACGAGACGTCCCTATCACAGGAATTGAAGGGGGAATTGTGCCTGAATAAGTGGTCATAATTTTGCAAACCTCTAACCAAGAACACTAAAATTGTGCATGAGTAATAAGTGTGTAGTGCTAAACTGCTAACCAACAGCAGCAAACTTTGCCTGACTTAAGTTGGCATAATTAATTTTGCAACAGAAGTGATTAAACAAAAACAGAGTATGCCTGACAAACTTGGATGAAAAGGGTGAATGATTTCTCTGTTGTTGGGAGTACTCTTAATTGATTGATTGATGTTGGTTGCTCCTGACGTTTGCAGCATCCCGTTGCCGCCATGGGTGCTGGAGGAGATGAGCAGCAACCCGGATATCGTGTACACGGACAGGTCCGGCCGCCGGAACCCCGAGTACATCTCCCTCGGCTGCGACACAATTCCCGTGCTCAAGGGCCGGACCCCCATCCAGGTCTACACCGACTACATGCGCAGCTTCCGCGAGAGATTCCGTGACTACCTCGGCAATGTCATCGCGGTAATTAACCAGCCACCGTTATTACCATCACTTAACATTGCAATAGCAGTTGAGCATAAGAATGTCATGATGTTGTAATCTTAGGCTAAACCGCTTGTGTTTCACTGTTGCAGGAGATCCAAGTGGGCATGGGTCCTTGTGGAGAGCTGAGGTATCCTTCATACCCTGAGGCCAACGGAACCTGGCGTTTCCCGGGCATTGGCGAGTTCCAATGCTATGACAAGGTAGGAAACAACACAGGCACACCTGATCATAATAAATTGTTGAGGTTTGAGGGGTATTCGGAGTTGCTGGTGAACGTTTGCTGAATTGCTGTGCGTGTTTGCGTTGGTACAGTACATGCGGGCATCGCTGGAAGCCGCGGCGGTGGCGGCGGGCCACAAGGAGTGGGGGAGGGGCGGACCGCACGACGCCGGCGAGTACAAGCAGATGCCCGACGACACAGGCTTCTTCCGGCGCGATGGCACGTGGAGCACCGAGTACGGGCATTTCTTCCTGGAGTGGTACTCGCGCATGCTCCTGGAGCACGGTGACCGCGTCCTGGCCGCGGCCGAGGCCGTGTTCGGCGGCACGAGCGCAACGCTCTCCGCCAAGGTCGCTGGCATCCACTGGCACTACCGGACCCGGTCCCACGCGGCGGAGCTCACGGCCGGGTACTATAACACGCGGTACCGTGACGGGTACGCGCCGATCGCGCGCACGCTGGCCAAGCGCGGCGCCGTGCTCAACTTCACATGCATGGAGATGAAGGACGAGCAGCAGCCGCAGCACGCCAGCTGCTCCCCCGAGCTGCTGGTGCAGCAGGTTAAGGCCGCGGCCAGCAAAGCCGGGGTGGAGCTCGCCGGCGAGAACGCGCTGGAGCGGTACGACGAGGCGGCGTTCTCGCAGGTGGTGTCGACGGCGCGCGGCGCAGGCCTGGCCGCGTTCACGTACCTGCGCATGAACAAGACGCTCTTCGACGGCGACAACTGGCGGCAGTTCGTGTCCTTCGTCAAGGCCATGGCCGACGGCGGCGCGAGGCCGGCGCTGCCGCGGTGCGACACGGGGCACTCGGACCTGTACGTCGGGTTCGTCGACGCCTCCAAGCAGAGGAAGGCGCCTGAGGCCGAGGGCGCCGCCACCGCCGCGGCAGTGTAGGTGGATGCCCATGCGTGTGCGTGCACACACACAAATGCGCCGTGCTGTTGTATATGTGTAGGGTACGTGCACCGGAGAAGGGGAACTGTATAGATTCAGTCAGGGCATTGCAGGTTGCAGAGTTTTATAGGCTGTAATCGAGCAGGTAGGTAAGGAGGCAGGCATGTCAGAACTTATCATCAGTTTATTTGTTCCGTTTCGAACTGTATTATAAGGAGCAGCTTGGTGACTGTTCACTGTCATAAATTTACCTGAAGGAAAAATAGAAATGCCATTTACTACAAGTAACTAGATGAACTACAAATTGCGCAAACATTTTCACAGTGCTCGGTAGGAAACATGGCAGGTCTGAAATCAACCAATACACTTGTAGCTATCTGAAATCAGTGATTGATCAGTGAGAAAGACATACCTTACCTTGCCTATAGTGATCCATGGTAGTTAGTGTTTTGAGTAGTCTTGGCAAAATAAACTAAAAAATGGTTCTGCTGAAGTCATTTCGCTGGCTGGTTTGTGTGAGAGAAAAATACTGTTCCGGCTGAAAATTTACGATCGTTTACGACAAGCCACAGCCAAACGAACAGGCTGGAGAGGTCTTCAACACTGTAACTTAGTGAAAACTATACTTACAACCATCCTTGATTCCACATCATTTTACACAGAATCTCTTGTATTAAGATTTTTAAATGGAAAAACCTTGTTGAGTAAGTAGTTAATTAAAAACAAATGACAAGGTAACAAATTAATCAAACTGTACCATTGTTTGAAAAATGAAAGAAAGATGGCCCAACTTGAAAACTAAAATGAATAGACCTTAGCTGGTTAGCGATTGATCAAACACACGGAGACACTAAAGTCTTCAGATGACCAAAAATGGTTGAGTTCTATTTGCACTCGATGGACGTTTATATGATATAATATAAGGTTATGTGAATCAACTATTTTAATTAATATCACAAAAATGGTAATAGGAATAACTATTTTAATATCACAAAAACTGAAACAATGGAGCCATCATCTGTTATGGCATCTTCAGTGCGCACTTTTGTAAAAGAGAAACCTAAGCATCACATAGCTTCACTAAAAACCTGGAAAAAAAACAATAGTCGCTTCTTTTCTAGTTTAGTCCTGCATTACACATGTACATTTGCTAATCCAGAACAAAATTTAACAATTTATAATTACACTTACAAAGACATCTTCACGACCTTTTGGCAGTATTCCTCATCAATTAACAGCCAGTGAGCCAAACATTCATTGGCAACCTGTAAGCGTCCATTCCATGAAACACCATGTAGATATGGCATGAAATTATTTATGGCAGAGAAATGTACAAACAAAGCGCATATGCATATGAAACCACCACAAATGAAGTCCTCCTTAATGGTAAAACAGTTTTCCTATATGAAACATAAAAGACAAACAAAACATTCAGTAACGTTCAGACTTAGGTTCTGCATGAATTTTTCAAGCGTCAATACATGGCAATTAGTGCAAATAACATTTACAATTCTGCCATCCGGATATTAATTGGTGCTATCTAACAGTAGCAAGTGCATTACGCAATCAAATGCTTACAAGAAGGCATTAAGTGTTTAGAAGCGCATTTTCTATCCGTTGTTTCTCCTCCATTCAGACATTCAAAAATTTGCAAGCCTTCTCGAACTTGTGTGCCGATTTCCAGGCAAAAATAGCTCACTGAGCAGGTTGTTCCCTGCTGAGACAGAAGAAAAGCTGTAGAACACTAGAACAGAAAGAACTCACCACGGTGGCCAGAATCTTTCTATCAAGTGACCAAATGTATCAATCCTGCCATTCCAGAAATCTTAAGGGAACAGCACGCTCAGTGAGAGATCAACAGGAGGGGGAGCATTAGCATACGTACTCCTGGCTTGCCAGATGCTAGTACAGAAGCATACTTCCTTCTCCTTCATGCTCAGCTACAACACCATGCGTTGCCCGCAAGGGTTCTTGACTGGGAGGCGTGCGGCTGTGAAGGTCGCAGAGTCTACGGGGAACGGCGGCGGCGGCGGCGGCCGCGCCGTCCCTCCTCCGTTCGGCGCCCCGTTGGTAGGCCGCCTCCATCCCTTTCCTCCACGGCTACGGTGCGGCCCTCCAACAACTACGTAGTGCTGGAATCCCGACGCTGGCCCATGGGAGGACGATGGAGACGGGGAGAAGCGGATGGCAGCGAACTGGAACACAGGTAGCGGAGGGCCGGAGGGGGCACGGATGCTGGATGGAGTACGGCCTGTACGGGCGACTGGCCGAGGATGATTCGCTGCGTGATTGCCGAGTGCACTTGTCGGAGCCCGAAATCGTGATTTTTTTTTAATTTTAACATTTTTTTAAACTAATTTTAAATCTAACATTTTTTTTCCAAAACTAACATTTTTTGCCGCGCCTATTGCCATAGCGCGGCGAAAAAGCATGTGCCGCGCCATGCATGGTGGCGCGGCGGGTAGCTGACGTGGCGACGACCGGAAATGCTGGCCGGTGACGTGGCAGGGCCTGCCGCGCTACCGATCTTGGCGCAGCAGTGCCGCGCCCTGATCCGTGAAGTGGCAGAGCCAAATAAAAGCTCCGCGGCCAGTCCCGCCTACCCGAGCAGCAAGCCCGCCTGCCCGCACCTGGCCGCCGCGCCCGTCGCCCGACCGGCCCTCCATTGCCGTCTCCCTCCCTCCCTTCCCTACCATTTCTCGGCCGCCTCCCTCCCTCATCGTCCTCGTTCAAGATAATGACGCACTTTTTATTTTCGTTTGAATGGTGGATATGAATATTATGAATAGGAGTTAAGGTTAGGAGAAAAATTATGTTTGAGAACTATGGGCTACGGTTTGAAGGAAGATATTAGTTTGATTTTCAATATTAAGGTTAATTATTTAGTTAGAAATATGTTTACCATGTATATTTTTGTCGCTATAAGTGTTGATTATATTATTTTAGTTGCAATGCAAATGATTATATTTTACATTAATTTGCGTTGTTTTGATTGATGTTTAATTTGAACCGTTTTATTAAATGAAAGATATGTTTCAGGAACAGTTATAGTGAAAACGGGGTCGTCCTAGAGAATTATACCCCGACGAGTGTAGCAAAGATGCTCCCGTCCCTCCTAAACTCTATGCCCCTAACTGTGACTGTGATCGTCCGGCCGACGTGTTTCAATCGAGACATCCGGACACAGCGGCTCGTTGCTTCTACACATACAGTCGTTTTAATGCAAGTAATTATTTCCGTATGTTTTTTTCTTCATTTATATTACTAGGTTACTAATATTTTATTGGAATTTTATTGTGTAGGCCCATGAGAGGTGATTTTTCTTTCAGTGGATCGACGGTGCAGATAAGTTTGACCCTAGGTACCTCCTTTTCGACGATTGGTGGAGAGGGCGACATCCACGAGAGCACTTCGAGCAGTGGGTTCCACCTCCCCCTAACCCCCCTCCAATGACGGCTAAGGAGAAGCACTTGGTCGCAGTTAAACAACTCGAGGAACCTCCTCTGTGCGATTGTGGAGATCGAGTTATGATAAACCCTAAGAATACGTTGGAGTTTGTGTGTCCAAACAAATATGAAGTAAGTGCAAAGTATATATGTTGAAATGTTGAGCTATATACGTTCATGTACTAATGTCACCTTATTTAGGTGTATTCAATGGCGAAGTGTCGTTTCAAGGAGTGGTTGTATGGTCCTAAGAACCAATGGTCAAAAGAACCTCTAAAGGCAAAGCAAAAGAAAAAAGAAAGGTTAATTTACAAAGCACCTCCAATCAAGTGCGAATGTGGTATTAAATCCAACTACGGTCTAGTCCCTTCGAAGCTTGGAATATGCTATTATTACGGCCATATGGTTGACTATGATGAGGTTGGTTATTTTTGTGGTAACCATAAAATCGTATTTTGTTTCTTTTGCTAAGACATATATGATATAATTTTTTGTTTGAACAGAGCATTAGAAAATACAGGTGGGAATGTTACGATGGTCAAGCTAAATTCTTGGATGAACTGAAGGGGAAGCAACTAATTGCACGGAAGAGGGGATATGGACCTGACTACGTCAACCTTTTCGTTAAACATCACAAAGACAAGATGCGTGAGTGTAAGGTCGAGATGGCGGACTAGAGGAAGGGTGAATAGTCATTTCTAAAATTAATCGTGTCGGCTAACCAAAATAAGTGCGGAATTAAAACTATCGGTCTAGCCAAGACTACACCCCTTTATTTATGTTCTCTAGCACCTTCCAAATATACTAATTAAGCAACAAAAGAGCCAGACTAACTAGAGCTCACCTAACCAATTCTAAAAACAAGGTCACACAAACCTATGCCACTAGTACTTGAAGCAACAAGGGAGCTCCTACACAAGCTAGTAAGCAAAAGCACAAAGCCACCTAAGCTTACTAGCAATCCTCAATAACAAGGCAACCAATGACAAACTAGAGAGCGCAATTACTTAGCTACACAAACTAATCAATATGACTAACAAGGTTACACAAACCAAATTAGTCACGCAAGGGAGCTACTTCTATGCTACACAAGCAAGAAGGTAACTAGTAAACTACACAAGCTAATTAATTACAAGAGCAACTACACAAGCACAATGTATATGAAATATAAATACAAACTTGTGAAAGGGGATTGCAAACCAACGGGAAGAACAAGGTTGATACGGTGATTTTTTTCCCAAGGTTCACGTGCTTGCCAATACGCTAGTCCCCATTGTGTCGACTGCTCACTTGGTGGTTCGGCGGCTAATTGGCATCACCCGCCAAGCCCGCACGTCCTGCACCGCAAGAACTACCCCAAAAGTGAGGGTAGCTCAATGACACGCTCAACTAGAGTTGCTCTTCGTGGCTCCCGCGGGGCGAGCACAATGCCCCTCACAAAGCTCTTCTCCGGAGCACCACACAAGCTTCTTGCGGGCTTCGACGGAGACCACCACCAAGCCATCTAGGAGGTGGCAACATCCAAGAGTAACAAGCACCACCGGCTTGCAACTC